TTGTTTGTGGATGCTCCCTGGGGTTTGTGGGTGTTCCCTGGGGGTTTTGTGGGTTTCCCATGGGGTTCCCATGCCTGTCCCACCCCAGGAGGGTGGCAGCCAGCAGACACAGCTCTGATGTGCAGGGGATGGGATCAGAGCTCGATCCTGCTTGGGGGCCGTGCCTTTTCAAAAGGCACAGAGAGAGGGGGGACAGAGGGGGCTCAGACCCCCAAATACCAGCGTGGATCCCAAACAGGAGGCAGGAGGGCTGGAGAGCTGGGTCAGTCCCTCCTCCAGCCTGAGTGTAAGCCCAGAGCAGGATAGGGAGGAAGAAGCTCCTCAAGCACTTGCTCCTGTGGCATTTTGGGTGTTATTTGGAGTATCCAGAGCTGCTGGTTGAGAGTTTCCACATGGACAAGTCCTGTCCCCTGCAGGGAGGCAGCTGAGCCCCCCTCACCACAGGTAAAGATGGATTTTTGGGGGTTGCTGCTCTTGTTTCCTACATCCTCCCATCAGGGAAGTAAAATAAATAGCTGCACATTTCGTAGTGAAGGAAGTTGCACTGGATTTTTTCAGCTGATTTCAAGGGGAGCCTTGAAAGCACTGGGCAAAAATTGAGATATATTGAGGAGAAGGCACAGATTCGGCTTGGCACAGCCCAGCTGGGGCACAGAGCTTCCCGAGCCAGCGTGTCACACTTTGGAGAGGGAACACGAGGAGACACATCCAGTTGTATAACACAGTGTTAGGGGAGGAAGAATGAATCCTTTCCTGACCCCTGCAGCAGCTCAGATTTGATCTGCATCAGATTTGATTGTCTTGGCAACTGTTGATAGAGGAGGAAAACAAGAAGAAAGGAAAATAGGGGAGGCACCAAGTTATGAAAACAGATCCTTGTTTCTCTGTGCAGCCTTTAAAGGTGTTTTAGGTGTGTGTGCGCAGGTGTGAACTGCATACAAATGAACTACAGCTTTGTTCTCGGTCTCTGCTCTGAGCAGCACCAGCTCTCCCACCCTCGGCTGCTCAGACCGAGTCTCCAGGAGTGTCTGAGCTCCCTGGGATCCTTCCCTGCCGTGCCCAGGGGCAGAGCAGGCACCCAGCCCTGCCCAAAACCTTCTCCCAAAACCTCCTGGAGGAAGGTGGGAAAGTGGAGCTCCCCCTGAGCTCCCCCTGAGCTGTCCCTGTGCTGTTCTCTCCCCCGAACAGCTTTTGCAGAGCTGCAGACGGACATCAACGAGCTGACCAGCGACCTGGACCGCTCGGGGATCCCCTACCTGGACTACCGCACCTACGCCATGAGGGTGCTGTTCCCTGGCATCGAGGACCACCCTGTCCTGCGGGAGCTGGAGGTAACTTCAGCTCTCCAAATTCCCCTGAAGCCTCAGGGAAGCCGGCAGGAAGCCCTGCAGCACCTTTATGGCTCCACACCAAACGTTTTTGGATACGTTATTAGTTCTTTTTAACTCCGAGCTTGGAGTTTAATCTCCTCCCACATCACCCGATTCCTTTCGGCTTCTCCTTCTTGGTGTTGGTTTATTTTTATTTATGGGGGTTTAAATCGCTCTAGGGCAGCGGCAGAGCAGGGCAGAGCGGTGGGGGTGTGCTTTAAAGTCACCTCGTGGGGCAGGGGATGGAGAAGTGCCCGGAGCATCGTGCCCCGAGCATCCTGCTGCTGTTCCCTCGCGTGTCCACAGGAGGGCAAGGAGAATGCCCAGGCATTCCAGCCTCTGAGCAAGCGCTTCCATCTCCCTGGTTTTCCCACCAGGAATACCTAGAAATAGATGAAAAACTTTCGCTGGGAGTGCAGAGGAATTGGGAACGTTCAGGGGTCCATCAGTGCACGTGGCAGATGGGCCCTGCTCACCTGCGAGAGGCCAAAAAAAGGATGGGGCTTCATAAACATCATCTCACAGCTGGGATGGGGCTGTGATCCCCACCCTGGGATGGAGCTGCCATCCTCCATGTGGGATGTCCAGAGGCTCAGCTCAGCTTTTCACAGGCTGAGATTGCCCCAGTAAATCCTGAAATCCCTCACAGACCAGGGTTGGATGTAGGAGCGAGGGGTCCTGGTTGCTCCAGGGTTGGATTCCTTTTCCAGGCAGGCACTTCCCACCCTTAAAGCATTAATTTGGGTTCCTTTCCTCGGCCACCAGCCAAGCAGTCGCTGTGGTGCTGCTAAAGCAGGAGCAGCTTCTCCCAGCCCATTCCTGCTCTGAGTTTTCCAGCTCCGTGCATTCTGTTTGCTGTTGGAGTTGCCAAAGAAGCCGATGCTCCAGCAAACAAATATGAATGCTTCTTTTTTACTCATGAAAAACAGAATTGCAGAAGTGATAAATGTGTTGCCAATTACACAGTTGCTTAATTATGTAACGTTAGTAAAACCAATACATAACTCTCCAAGATGTTTGGTAAAGAGTTGCTTCGTGCAGTTCATCATTTTCACTTGTAATGAATTACTTGAATCCGCAACTGGCTGAAAGCCTCAATTAATTTTTTACACTTGGCCCATAATAAAGCAATAGTCTAAATTAGTATTTAATTTACTTACAAGAGTGTCACTTTTTGTGCAGAACAAGCAGAACTGGGTGTCATTTCGGGGGCCGTTAGGCTCAAACTGCTGCTTTATGGCGTGCACAGAGTGCAGCTCCCAGCCAGGGTTCAGGGGAGCTGTGGAGGGGCAGCTTTGCTCAGCATGGACCAAAAACACATCAGGGATGCTGAGACCCCGAGGGATGGGTGCAGCCAGGGTTAAACCATCCTGTGCACGTTTCTGATGCCCCCAGAGTGAGAAGGACATGGAACTGCTGGAGCAAGTCCAGAGGAAGTTGCTCAGGGGAATGGAACAGGCTGGGAGAGTTGGAAATGTTCAGTCTGGAGAAGAGAAAGTTGTGTAAAGACCTCTCAACACCTTCCAGGACCTGAAAGGGTGACAGGAGAGCTGGAGTTGAGATTGTTCATCAGAAACTGGGGGGACAGGACAAGGGAGAATGGATTCAGACTGGTAGAGGGCAGGGTTGGATGGGATATTGGGAGGAAATTATTCCCTGTGAGGGTGGGGAGGCCTCAGCACAGGCTGGGGCCAGAGTCTCCTTCTCTGGCAGCTCCAGGCTGTCCAGAGCAGCTGTGGCTGCCCCTGGATCCCTGGAAGTGTCTGAGACCAGGTTGGAGCAGCCTGGAACAGTGAAAGGTGTCCCTGCCATGGCAGGGGGTGGGATGAGATAATTTCCAGTGTCCCTTCCCACCCATGCCATTCCCTGCTCCTGTGAGTCCCCCAGTGCTGGCAGAGTGACCCCAGGGCAGGGTGACCCCAGGGCAGGGTGACCCCAGGGCGCTGCAGCGCTGCCCTCCCATCCCTTGTCCCCTTGTCCCCTCCATGCCGTGGCTGAGGGCCGTGCTCTCCTCCTGCAGGTCCAGGGGAACGGGCAGCAGAGCGTGGAGAAGGCCTTGAAGCTCTTTGCCCAGCTGATCAACAACAAGGTGTTCCTGCTGACCTTCATCCGCACGCTGGAGCTGCAGCGCAGCTTCTCCATGCGGGACCGCGGCAACGTGGCCTCGCTCATCATGACGGGGCTGCAGGGCAAGCTGGAGTACGCCACGGATGTCCTCAAGCAGCTGCTCTCCGACCTCATCGAGAAGAACCTGGAGAACAAGAACCACCCCAAGCTGCTCCTGCGCAGGTGAGGCCGGGGATGGGCAGGGCACGGGGCTGCCAGGTGGAATTTCTGCATGGAGAGGGCTGGGAGGGGCTGCCCAGGGAGGTGCTGCAGGCTCTGCGTGGTCTGGTCTGGCTGGCAAGGTGGGGATTGATCTCAGATTGTGCTCGATGCTCTCTGAGGTCTTTTCCAAGCTGATGAACAGCAGGATTCTGTGATCTGAGGGCTCTGCAGGAGTTGGTGTTTGAAGGGAATCTCAGCTCTCCGTGGAGGATTCCCATCCATTTCCTCACCTGTCTCCAGGATAGGGGTTAGCCCCGCTCTGGGAGTTCACAGAGGGCTGGACACGGTCTCAAACCAGATTCCCTGGCTCTGCCTGGCTGGAGAGAAGCATTTGTGTGCCACAGCTGGGCCAGGAGCTCCAGGGTGGATTGAGCAACTCACCCAAGGTAGAGCTGGGAAGTGGCACCAAGAAAATAGGGAAAAAAACGTGCATGAATGTGGGGCAGACAGCAGGCACAAGGAAAAGGCTCCCTCTGTTCTCCACATCCTTGGGGGTCCTGCAGAGCCTGGCCTTGGCCAGTGCTGCCCCTGGGCTGTGCTGGGGCTCTGCTGGAGAGAGGGCAGGGTTTCATAGCTCCAGGAAAATTTCAGGGGTCCCTGCAGCCACAATGAATATACTTGACAGGAAATTGCTTTAAATCTGGCTGTGTTTGCGCAGGCAATAACTCATCTTGGCAAAGGAAGCCGCCTTAATTTCCCCCGTGGTTTGACGAGTCGCTGGGAAGGCGTCTTCTGCCTCAGCCATCAATAATGACTTTTCCTGGCTCTCCAAAAAACACAGGCATGGTGATAAGAGCTGTGCCCCCTCCTCCCTGCACAGCCAGCAAGGAGTCAGGGCCGTCTGTGGGCTGTCTGTCCTTGGGGCTGTCTGTCCTTGGGGCTGTCTGTCCTTTGGGCTGTCTGTCCTTTGGGCTGTCTGTCCATGGGGCTGTCTGTCCTTGGGGCTGTCTGTCCTGCACCAGGATTTACCCATTGCACAGGGAACCCGGATCTTCCCAGGGATGGGGCATCTACCACCAGTCTGGGCAATTTGGGCCAGTGTTTCACCACCCTTACAACAATTCCTGCTTTATATCTAGTCTGAATCTACTCCCTCTTATTTTAAAAGCTTTATTCCTTGTCCTGACGTTCCATGTCCTATTAAACCTTGGGCTGGAGACCTTTCCCAACCCCATGCCCGACTGCTCCAGCCCAGCCTGGAACTCCTTGCTCTGACTTAATAAGGAGTGATCAGCCATGAAGTGAAACACTATTTTTCAAAATGTTTTGAGCTCTCTGGTGGCAGCAGTTGATAACTGACACTCAGTTCTTTCCCTCTTTCTTCCTCTCTCTTTCTTCCACGACTGCCCCTCGCGGGAGACAGCAAGAAAGTTGACGTTAAATCAAACAGCTGCTCTGGTTGCTGGCAACAGCAGTTTGGAGACCTACATAGAGCAGGGAGAATTAATAAAATACATATTTATTTTTTAGGTTCTCTCAGCTTGTTTTGTTTAGGTTTGTTTTCTTGCTGGTGCCTCAGGAAGCCGGTGGAGCAGCCAAGGCTGGGCACTGGATTCAGAATCCTTTGGAAAATCATCTCTGGATTGTGCTGTGCCCTCCTTCTGTGGCCAGCATGACCATGCTCCAAAGCTAGGGATCCTCTTCTGCCCTGGTAATCTCCAGGAGCTTATTTTTTATTTTTGGAGCAAATCTTTCAGAGCATCCAGTGGCCAGTGATGGCACAGAGCACTGCTGCTTGGGGCAGCTCAAAACCTGGCAGCAGATTTTGGGGCCCAGCAGATTTTGGGGCTCAGCAGAGCCCTCAGTGTGTAGGAGAAAGGCCAGAGTTTCCCATTCCCAAGGCAGAGGAGGGCAGGGATGCTTTAATTGGGTGCCTGAAACATTTCAAACGGGAGATCCATGTGTGTGTCAATTTGTAGGATGAATTTTTAGGCAGCTAATCAATTCAGGCTTAAATTCTTTGGGGATCTGCAGACGTTTTCACCAATTCCTGACAGATGTTGCCATCCTAGGAGATGATGGATGATGTGACCCCAGGTCTGTTGGCCAACTGGTGTCAGTTTTTGTTTGTTGAAATCTCTGGCTCCTGTTCATTCTTGATCTGCTTGGCTCTGGAATCAAGCCCTGTGTTTCTTTGGTGTGTGCTTGTAATTCCAAGCACTCGCAATGCTGTGGGGATTCACAGCAAGAAGCAGTCCCTCATTTAAGGGAAAGAATGGGGAAAATGGGTCTGGAGTGGGATGTGACCCTCTCCAGGTCAGGGAGGAGGTGACCTGGTTCATGGTGAGGGCAGAGGGATCAGTCCCCAGGGAAAGGATGCAGGGAATTGCATTCATCCTTCTTTGCTTGCTGGAATTTGGACCAGATCCTGGTGTCAGTGAGGGGAAGGCTGGTGGTGCAAAGCCATGGTCACAGCTGGCCAGGGTCGTGGTCACAGCTGGCCAGGGTCATGGTCACAGCTGGCCAGGCTGCAGCACAGCAGCTCTTCCCTGCACGGGGCTGGGGCTCCAATATGAGACATCCTATGTCCATCAGAGCCATCCCATCCCATCCCATCCCATCCCATCCCATCCCAGGAAAAGGGGCTGTGGAGCTTTAAGTGAAGCCTCTGGGCCCTGCAGAGGCAGCGTTAAAAACTCCCATTAGGAGCCATTGTATTTAAATTAGAGATAATTTCGGGCACAATGCGGGGAGAGGACACTGGGTGGGACTGGGGAGAAAGCTGCAATTTCCCTGCCATTGTCACTCGGCTGTCCCTGATTGCCAGGAGCTGCTGTAAATCCCAGTGATTTACTGAGCCAGGCTGTAATTTGCACCACGTGCGAGGAGCTGAGTGTCACCAGGCTGGTGTCACCAGCCCCATCAGGCTGGCAGCTGGGTGGTCCTGGCAGCGCTGCAGGGACACGGGGACAGCTCTGAGCCCACCCTGCTGTCCCGGGGGGCTGTGCCAGGCTCAGCTTTGGGCGCTCCGTGTGTGATTTGTCCCCTCCTGCCTCCCCCAGGACCGAGTCGGTGGCAGAGAAGATGCTGACGAACTGGTTTGCCTTCCTGCTGCACAGATTTCTCAAGGTAAGCAGAGCTGGAGCGGGGACCCCGCTGCTGTCTCACCCTCCAGCCACCCCCGGGTGCACCTGGGGGTGAAACTCTTCCATCAGCCTCCAAAAAATGGAGTAGCAAGGATGGAGAGGTGGAAATTCGCACTGTGGCTGCTGCTCCGTGCTCACAGCCTCAGGTGTCCTGGAGTAATTCCCACGTAAAGGAGGTTCTGTTTCACCTCTGTGGTACCCGAGGGAAATTCTCACATATTCATGCCTCAGCTTCCATAGTTTTTAACTTAATTTGTGGCTTTGGAAGCCCCGCTGAATTTGCTCCAGGGGAGTGAACAGTGAGATGGAGATCTCAAATTCCATTTTTTTCCAGCCCTATAGATTCAGGAAGGATTTGCCAAAGCCAACAGAGCCATGGAGCAGTGGAGCCCACGGGTTTGGCTGTGACCCTCCAGGGCTGCACATGGGATAAGGATTGAGCCAGCGGGGCTGAGAGGGAATCCTGTGCTGGGAGGAATCCTGTGCCAAAGGGGACTGGGAGCCGTGAGGAGAGGCACCTTCACCCTGTGTGACTCTGGTGTCCCCTGTCGTGCAGGAGTGTGCTGGAGAGCCCCTGTTCATGCTCTACTGTGCCATCAAGCAGCAGATGGAGAAGGGCCCCATCGATGCCATCACGGGAGAGGCACGGTACTCCCTGAGCGAGGACAAGCTCATCCGGCAGCAGATCGAGTACAAGACCCTGGTGAGTGGGGAATTCTGCTGCCCCTCAGCTGGGCTGGCCCTCGCAGCAGGGACCAGGACACTGCCTGAGGTGTGAGCATTGCTGGGCAATAGGGACCCCGTGTCCCAGCCAGGTGTGTCCCCAGTTTGCAGGTTTGGTGTGAGGGGAAGGTTTTATCTCCCTGTGCTCTGGGCACTGCCCTCCTGCAGTGAGTGCAAATGGGCATCCAGGGCTCCCCTCCCAGCAAGAATTGTATAAATGTGATGGGTGCAATAGCAGTGATGCATTTAGGGCTGCAGTGGGGTTTTGTATGGGAGGAGGGTGTTGTGACACTTCTCCTTCAGAGCATGGTGAGATTCTTCTCTTGCAGATCCTAAACTGTGTGAACCCAGACAACGAGAACAGCCCCGAGATCCCTGTGAAGGTGCTGAACTGCGACACCATCACCCAAGTCAAGGAGAAGATCCTGGATGCCGTGTACAAAAACGTCCCCTATTCCCAAAGACCGAGAGCTGTTGACATGGATTTGGGTAGGAGCTGCCCTGCCTGATGGGAGGGGGGTGACCAGAGGGGCTGGGGGTGATTCCTGGGGTGGTTTGCAGAGCTTGGCCCCCTCTCACCGTGGCTCTCCCCTCTCCCAGAGTGGCGGCAGGGCCGGATTGCCCGTGTGGTGCTGCAGGATGAAGACATCACCACCAAGATCGAGGGGGACTGGAAGCGCCTGAACACCCTGGTGCACTATCAGGTGAGGGACAGCCCCACTGACAGCTCCCAGAAAGCTGCCAGCAGGGAAAAGAGCAGCAGGAACCTCATTCCCAAGTGTCTCATCTGCCCAGACCGACAGGGAGGTCACGTTTGTGTGATAAACCAGAAGGGTTCCATGTGCTCCAGCATTAGGGGGGAAAGCAACCTTGACACCGAGCTCAGAGGAAGCAGCAGAGTTGAAAATTGGCTAAATTAAACCTGCCAGCCATGGGAGAGAGGCAGAGGGAGCAGTGCAGGGGCTGGGCAGACACTGCTGGGGCTGAGGGGTCTGGGGAGGGCAGCACGGGGGGCTCGGGGCTTTGTCTGGGGGTCTGGGACAGCCTGGAGGGCAGCGGGGGAGGCATCAAGTGACAGGAAAGTGGAGCCAGGCAGTGAAGATGCTCACACAGGGTGGGTGAGGAGGCCTAAGAAATTCTTGCCATCTTCACCTTCTGGATAGGGCAGAGTCTGTTGGGAAGAATTCCTTGCAGTGTGAAAAATGGGAAAAGAGGGAGCTGAGGAAGGTTTGGTTAGAGGGAATCCAAGCAAAAGATGGGAGGAGAGGTAAGGAGGGAACTGAGGAAGGTTTGGCTGCAGGCAATCAAAGGCTTTCCCTCCCAGCCTGTCTGCAGCACAGGATAACTGCATTAATTGGGACCAGTAACCTACTCCTGTCCATCAGCACCTCCCCAGAAGTGTTTAGTATTTAATCTGGCATCTCTCCCTGTTTATCCAGCATCTCCAGTCCATCAGGCTGCCTCACGCTGGGGGACTTGAATGGGAGCCAGTATTGACAGGAGCTCTGCAATCAGGGAGCAGGCAGGAGAGTGCCATCAATATGCACCGTGCATGTTAAACAGCACCTCCAGGGTCAACTTTTCCAAGCAGCCCCCAGGATTTAAACACAGATTACCGTAAAATGTCAGAGGAGTGGCGCAGATTAATTCCATTGTTCCTAAAAATCTGTTTTACCTGACAGTTGCAAGGGATTAACCAACATGCAGGGAAGCAGCGAGACTTTATTATGCCTTGATCTTTAAAAGTCATCGTGAGGAAGTCACAAGTGAAAGCTGTGCCTGTCTGATGTGTGCTGGATGCTGGGGGAGGGAGAACTTTCATTCCAGTGCCTGTGGGAAAACCTGAGCCAAAAGCTTCCCCTTAAAATAAACAAAATCCTCGCAGCACTCGAGATGCTGCAGCTCCTGCTGCCATTTGAATGTCAGGTTTGCTCTGGAAGAAAGGAGAAGTTGGCAGCCAAACATCCAGCCAGGGAGTGACACGAGTCTGCCTGATCTGGCCCGAGCTCTGCTCAGCCCAACGGAGCTGTCTCAGTCATTAAAGAGAAGCCAAATTCTTTTAACTGTAGCAGAAATCCTGTCAAGGCGAAGCTTTTGCAAGAAACTAACAGATATAGATATATATATATATATATATACATATATATATATTTATTTTTTTTACATGTTTTATTCTTACCAGTTTGGGTTTTTTTTTTCCCTGTTGGAGTAAAAGTTCTTATTAGATATCAAAAATAGAAATGTTCCAGGACTACACAGTAAAACAGATATCTGGGTAAAGGCCTGGCTTTAAGAGGGTATAAAATCACTGGAGTTCTCACTGTTTAACAGGAGTGTGACACGTGAACTAGGTGTGGTTCCAACCATTAAAACAAATGTGGGTTTCCAGAGGAGTAGTAAAGATGATTTCTAGATTTCTAGGAAAGAAATGAAAGCTGCTTTGCAAAGCTCTGCCCATCTTTAATTCAGGGCTGTTTTGTCTTTGCTCTGAGGGCAGGGAGCTCCCTGGGTGTGCAGGTGCTGCTGGGAGATGCTCGGCCCAGGTTCCCATCCCGCAGCTCCAGGTGTGTCCCTTGGACAGGTGCTGGCACCTGGGAGGGGCCAGAACCCTCCTGGTCCTCAATTCCCTGCTCCTGATTCCCAGGATCCATTCCCCACAGCCCCAGACCCTCCTCCTCCTCCTCACTGTGCCCTCAGGGGGGTGATTTCATCCCAAGGGTTCCCAGCTCCAACCTTCACGCTGGATTTTGACACCGTTGCTTTTGTTTTCTACATTAGAATCACAAAAACACAATAACTGATCAAAAGCATTTTTCGTGGGAAGCCTTCACACACAAAACCCAAATTGGAATTAAAGAGAAATATTCACTTTTCTAATAGTTTTGAACCACTTTATGAAATTATAGAGAGAACTGTGCACCTCCTGCTTATTTCTTCATTTACAAAAATAGATGTGTAGCTTAAATAAGTGTAATTCTTTGTTAAATTCTCTGGAGCTGTTATACATGGCAAGGATTTGTGTTACATTTGTGTCGTATCCTCTTGGTTTCATGGCTATTAAACTCCATGGGAGAGTCTTACCCCGTGTGGTTTCACTCAGGAAAAATGAAACACTGAATTTAATATCGAATGATTTACAGTGGCTCATGCAGGGTTAACTCAGAGGCAGCAGAGCATGAATACCTGTCAGCCCCTTCGAGTCTGGAGAGGCCAGGAGACCAGGAAAGTGTTTTAAATGAAAAATTAGAAGGAGAAAAGAGAAGGTTTGGGTGGAAAAACGAGGCTTAGGAGGCGAGGGTGGTGCAAATGCAGAGCTGGAATCGTCATTGCACCCTCGCTGCTCCTCACAAACACAACTCCATGGCCTGGGCTCCCTTCTCCCCCTGCCCAGGCTTTATTTCCCCTGTCTTTAAGGTGGTTTGTGCCCCCCGTTTCCAGCCTGTAGAACAATCAGAATATTTATAAAGTTGTAGAGCAGGCAGGCAGCTCGGAGCGCGTCCCGGGGGTGCCGTGGCAGCGTGTGCTCCACCTGAGCCTGATCTGCAGCTGCTGGGGCTGAGCTGACAGCAGCCATTCCACCCAAAATTTACAGAGTGAGAGGGCTCCTTTTTTTTTTTTTTTTTTGTGCGTGTGGAATTTTTAGTGCCTCTCTCCCAGTTAAGCACAGCCCTGGTGGAAATGGATCCGGCACGGGAGCGCCCTGGGCTCGGGTTTCTCCCTGGTGAAACGGAGCTGAAGTGGCAGCTAATAACAGCCTAAGAAAATAATATCAGCACTGATCACTTCTTCCACTGACTTAATAAATTGGATGAAGTGAGGCAGGAGCAGCAAAGGAAATAATGGAGGTGTTTGGAGTGTTTTGCTTAGAAAAATCTCCCTTTTGTGCCGTGAAACACAAGTAACCATTATTTCCACTATCACCAGTAATAATAATAACTCGGATTTCTATGAAACCTCTCATCTGGATGGAGCCCAAAGCCTTGGAGGCAGCACAGGTCCCTGTGTGCAGCTCCCCTTGGTGCTGCAGATAGGGTACAAACCCCTGGAGCTGCTGGGGGAGAAAAAAAACCTCCCAGTGCTGAGCCCATCATGAGACTCCTGGCACATAATGCAGGATTTAGCCCCAAGAAGCAATTCCTGCAGCAGGAAGAGACATTTCTTTTGTACTGAGCCTCTAAAAAGTGTCTGCTGGGCCCTGGCAAGATGTGGTGACACTCTGCTCCCTCGCTGTGCTGCACCACAGGTCACAAGTTCAAAATTAAAAGCTACTCAGGCCCATTCCCTGGAAACCTGCAGATCCTTAATTAAGGGGAATAAGTTAGAAAACTTCCAGTGACTACCAGATTTATAGGGAGGATAAAATTAAACATGGCTACTAAAATCTGCTGTAACAAAACCTTGTTAGCGCTAATGTTCATTTATAGTTTGACTTCCCAGTGTTTAATTCCTTCTCTGGAGCAGTAAAGGGATAACAATTAAATACCCTGAAAGATGGCTTTATGACTTGCTCCGCTGTAAATCAAACTTTTAAAGTTCGTAAAAATTGCTAAAATAAAAAATGGTTTAATAGGAATGTTTTATGGCCCATAACGTTATTACAGCCTTTTTATTCCCTCTGCATTGTTACTTTAATTGGATCACAACAATTCTTGAGATTCTCATTTTTATTGGGTAAGGCATAATCTTAAATCAGAACGACCAAAAGCATCTTCACCACATCTTTTGATTTATTCCTCATTTCCTTCAGGCTCTTGCTGGAGTCTGACCCTGCACAGGGCTCAGCCAGGCTGGGAGTGTGTCCTGGATTCTCCTTCCCAGGATCTGCTGGGGATTCCAGGGACCCAAGGGATCCCAGAGTGGGCAGGGAATCCCCCTGAGCTCCTCCTGTTTTGCCTCCCCAGGTGTCAGACCGCTCCGTGGTGGCTCTGGTTCCCAAGCAAACCTCATCCTACAACATCCCTGCCTCTGCCAGCATCTCCAGGACATCCATCAGCAGATATGGTGAGAAATGGGATGGGATGGCTCATGGACACACACTGGGATTGAGGTGGGGAAAAAGCAGCCAAACGAATGTAAATCCAAACAGAAAAACGTCCCTGGTGGCTGGTTTGGATTGCAAAGGCTTTTCCAGCTGTGAGAGCAGCAAAAGGACCAGGAAAGGTGAGAGGAGGGAAAAGGAAATGCCCAGCACAGGAGCAGCCTTTGGGAATGTGGGAACTGGGAAAGTTCCGAGGGCTCAGAGGGGATGGATGATGCAGGAGAGCATCTTTGAGCCCCGGGGGCTGCAGCACAGATAAACCTGATCCCTCCCCAAGTGCAGCATCCTGAGCTCTGAGCTAATGGGTCACAAATGGGGAAGGGCAATCTTAGCACAGAGTGCAGGGATGTGCACACCTGGGAATTCCTGATTTGCATAATAGAAGGGCTCAGCACATTCCAGAGGGTCCCTGAAGATGCTGCAGCCTGAGAAAATGAGCCTGGGAGGTGCCAGGTGCACCTTGGAACACTAAATCCACAATAATTGTAATAATAGACTTCCATAAAAGGCAGCAGTGGCAAAATCTCTCGAGTGCTGATCTTTCATTATCGTTCATTTCACAGAGTGTTTTACCAGCAAAAAGTCTCCTGACAAAGCCATCTCCTCCTCCTGTTTATAGCTCCCAAAATAATGTTGGTTTTTAGCTCGAGCAAGAGTTCTGAGGAGCTAAAACCAGGGGAGACTTGAGGTAAAATCCAGGAGAAAAGGCATTTCTACTTGTTGGCCCACAAGTGTCCAACACATCCCTTGGCCCAGGTGATGGAAAAACCAAGGCTGGGTCTCCCAGCCTGAGCCCTCAGTGCTCATTGATCTCTGTCAGCTGCAAAAGCTTTTGCAAAGCCCCGATCTGAGCCATCATTGCTCATGTTAAGATTAATATTTCTAATTGTGCCGGCAGAATTTAAATTAGATACTTATTTACTTCCCCTGTTATATATCAGTACAGAGATATGTTTAAAAATAGAATTACTGCATGCTTCCTGAGCTGTCCCCCTGTCTGTCTCCTTAATTATATCAGTTGGAGCACTCATTTATCTAAGCCTTAATCAGGGATGAAAATCCAGCTACTTTGGTAATGACTTGAGTATTTCCCTCAGCTGATTTACGATCGATCCCCACACTCCTGACGAGGAGGGTGAGCAGTGAATTGAAGGCTAAACTTGAGGAAATGCATGAGATTCCCAGAGAACAAAGGAAAAATCCAGCAAGGCACATTTGGGCTCCTTAGCCTCGTGTCTTGTCCTGGAGACACTGGGGATCCAGGGAGGGACATTCTGTGGGAAGTGAAATATATTTTTATATATATTCATATATATATTTATTTATATTTATATTTATTATATATATTTTAATATATTTATTTATACTTGGATTTATATTTATATTTGGATTTATATTTGGATTTATATTTGGATTTATATTTATATTTATATTTATATTTATATTTATGTTTATGTTTATGTTTATATTATTATATTTAATAGTGCCACATCCCCCCATGATTTCTGAGCAGTTAAATCAAAGTTGTCTGGTGCCCTCTGAGCTGCCTTTTCCCTGCAGGGACAGCAGGAGGCTGGACCTGCCCAGCCCAGGGGTGGCACAGGGTGCAGGACTGGCCTCAGGCTCTGCTCAGCTTGAGTCCTCACTGCTGTCCTGAAAGCCTCCAGCAGTTTCTCCTTCCCTTTGTGCTGGCTGTGCTCCTCATTATTTACAAAATCCTGAAATCGGGGCTCTGCTTCTGCAGGAGTCGGTGCCTGGGCTCGCTGTGTGCGAGCTGTGACTCAGGGAGGATTTTTGTGTGGATTTGTACCAGGAGTTCACGTCAGGGAAGGATGTGACTGGGGCAGGAAAGGAAATATATAAGAGGGAAAAAAAAGCTCAACTCTGAGGTTTTTTTATTGAATGGACACCAGCACAGATTTTTCTGGCAAACACCAAATTTTGACGGCGCGGAACAAGAAAATGCGCGAAACAAAACCAGGGCGGTTTCCCATTTCAATTTCCCCCCACCAAAAAAAAAAAAAAAAAACAAAAAAAAAAAAAAACCAAAAGGGGGGGGGGAGGGCATTATCAGCCATGGTGAGGGCACTGAGGGACGAGCAGAAGGGTTTAACGTGACCATGACCAGGCTCTGTGCCCCGGCCCAGACTCCACGTTCCGCTACACCGGGAGCCCCGACAGCCTCCGGTCCCGCGCGCCCATGATCACCCCCGACCTGGAGAGCGGCGTCAAGGTCTGGCACCTGGTCAAGAACCACGACCACGGCGACCAGAAGGAGGGAGACAGAGGCAGCAAGATGGTGTCAGAGATCTACCTGACCAGGCTGCTGGCTACAAAGGTACCTGAGCTGAATTTACCTGGGGAGCGCTGGGTGAGGCTCGGCCAGGGGTGCTCAGCCCCCAGGCTGGCTGGGTTTTCCTGGCATTGGGAGAGTCCTGGAGCAGCCACAGAAATACAGCCCAGATTTCTTCCCATTCAAGGCAATTGCTGCAATTCTCCATTTTTTATTTGCACAATGTTAAAACACAAATTGGTGAATGCAGCAGTGCCTGGAAATATTTACCCATTTCTTCGAGCAGACGTGGTTTTCCTGCCTTTCCCCATGTGCTCATCAGCGTGGATAACACAGATGTGCTCTGGGAAGCAAAAAATAAAATTGTTTCAGGTTAGAAATAAAGAGTAAATGAGTGAGTAGCTGCAGGCTGGAGATTTCCCCTGGGATCCTCCAGCAGTGTTCGAAAAGACCCCGACCTTGGTAATTCCCATGGGATCTGTGGTGGCACTCTTTGGGGTTGGTAACATCTGGTGTCCCTTCCTGCCACTGCTGCTTGGCCAGGGGAATGCCTGACCCTCCCCTGGATTGCTGCTCCTGTCACCAAACCTGCAGAAAAGCAGAAATTCTCCAGCAACATCTTTTCAATATTAGAGAATTAGGTATTACTTTATTCTGGCCAGGACGTGCAATAGAAATGATTTCATCCACACATGCCTGGGTTGTGCAGTGAAAATCATTCCATCATACATGGGGTTTTTACCTCATTTTTCACATACTTATACATGAAACCTCTAAAGAAACTCACATTCACTGCTACTAAATTAGACAATTCTTAGTGTTTGATCTCCTATTGGTTATTGATCCTTTCCATGCTAATTTGGTCCTCATGCTCTGGTTCTCTTATCAAAATCATTTCCCAGACCAGGTCTCTGATCACACCAGGGGGTGATGTTTGTTAATTTTCATTTACCCCCTCTGTATCCTGGCAATCTCCTTTTTGTTGATTCAAGAACCTCACCCAGAAATTCTCAAACCCTCATTGAGCCTTCCCAAGAGAAAACCTCAATCCCCCCCTAACCCGAGCAGAGGAGAACAAACCCCTGAATAAAAGGGCATTACAAAGAGAACTTAGGATCCGCCTGCTTTGCCTTTCTGCCATCAGGGCACGCTGCAGAAGTTCGTGGATGACCTGTTTGAGACGCTGTTCAGCACGGTGCACCGCGGCAGCGCCCTGCCCCTCGCCATCAAGTACATGTTTGATTTCCTGGACGAGCAGGCGGACAAGCACGGCATCCACGACACCGACGTCCGGCACACCTGGAAGAGCAACTGGTAACGGGGGACACCCGAGTGTGTCTGGGGGGGAGAAATCCTCAGATTTGCGGGGAATTGTTTTGGGAAGGGCCGGGGAGCTCCAAAGTGAGAGAGGGACACAAAGCTGTGCTGCCCCAGGGGTGGGAGGCTGGGCTGGGCTGCCTGTGTGGTGTTCACAGGGTCCTAAAATCCTGGAATATCCTGATTTGGAAGGGAAGGGGGATAGCGTGGCTGCCTCTGAGTCCTCTGGCCAGGGTGGGAGCTGGACACTGCCCTCAGATCTGCACATTTGGACTTTGGAAAGAGTGGGAAGCAAGGCTCCAGTGCCTGCCCCGTGCTGCCTGCACAGCCCTGCTGGGCCAGGAATGCCAGCACAGAGCTCAGCCAGAGGCTGCACCTTCCCCATCACTTTGGGGAGCACCTGGAGCACTTGGGCATCAGTGGGAGGTGGCACAGGGAGAAGGAGCCAGCTCTGCATGCCTCAGGTCCAGCCTCTCCAAACAGTGGGAGCTCTCACATCTCTGCCTCTGCTGCTTTTTGAGGATTAAAACCTCTGTGGGTTGGAAATTTACCTCTGCTAGAAAAGGAAGAAAAAAGCACAACAAATGGTTGTTCCCTAAAGACGTTGTATTTTCCTCTGAGTCCCTTGTGGTTTAAAAGGCCTCTAATCATCATGGCAAAAGCTGGTTCCCTGCTAAGGCAGTGGGAAGCTCAAAACAATTCATTTAAAGCCTTCGAAGAAGTAGTTATTGGGATAAAAACTGTAGAATCACAAGAAATTATGGGAAAAAAAGAAAGCAATGACCACCAGAGTTTGGTCTGCCAGACCTATCAGCCCCCACCAGTCCTGGACCTTCCTTCTCCCCACGTCAGCTGAGCTGCAGCATTTCCAGAAAGGGAATTTTGGTGGGGACACGGGAGAAGGCTTCCCCTGGAGCAGATCAAAGCAAATGGAAGTTTGGGAGAGGGAGCTGGGATGGCTGGGGCTGGGGCTGGGGCTGAGCTGCTCTCCTGCAGCACTGCAAGAGTTAAAGCTGCAGCCTTCAGCGAGCTGGAGAGACAGAGAGAGCTGCGACTTGAAAGGTAATAGAAAGCAGCAGCTGCTTTTTTGATCCTGCCATAGAGCCGAGGAAAAAAAGGAATAATAATTCCCCTTTGATTGCAAAGGCCCCGGGATTTGGGGACAAAGCCTGTGGTTGCTGCTCGCAGGTGCCAGAGCGTGGCTGGGCAGTGATTAGTGCTGGGGCTGCCCCTGCTCACCCACACTGCAGCCCTGCTCTCATCACCCCCTCTAATGGGCTCCTCTAATGGGCTCCTCCTGCAGATGCTCCCCAGTACCCCCAAAGTGCCCAGCTCTGCCCTATCCCTCCTTCCCCCACTGCTCCGTGTGGGATCCAAGCTGGGAGCAGCTCCCTGGCATGGCAGGATCCACCACCCTGGGCTAGCTGCTGCTTGATGGCCTTGGCCCAGCTCCTGTGTAAATTCTTCTCTCATTCTTCTCCCCATTCATGTTCTGCCTTGCAGCACCATCTGCAGCAAGTGCCCTTTCCTTGCCTTTGTCTCATTTCGTTTTGTTTCTCAATCTCCCTCCCAGCCTCCCCCTCCGCTTCTGGGTGAACGTGATCAAAAACCCTCAGTTCGTGTTCGACATCCACAAGGGCAGCATCACGGACGCCTGCCTCTCCGTGGTGGCTCAGACCTTCATGGATTCCTGCTCCACCTCGGAGCACCGCCTGGGCAAGGACTCGCCCTCCAACAAGCTGCTGTACGCCAAGGACATCCCCAGCTACAAGAGCTGGGTGGAGAGGTGAGGGCAGCAGTGGGAGCGTGGGTGCAGGGTGCTCTGGTCCTGCCTGAAACCCCACAGATCTCAGAACAGAACATCCCGAGTGGGAGGGAAGCACAAGAACCAGCAGTGATGCTGCAGGGCTGTTCTCAGCCCTGCCAAGCATCGCTGCTCTTGTTTTCAGCTCATTACAGCCCAGAATCCTGTTTTGCTGGATGTAAACACAAAGCAAAAAGATGTTCTTATCCCTGCAGAGCTTAGCTTAAATCCCAGGGGGAGCAGGGACATTTGGAGCGTTCCTGTTCCCCATTTTTCCCCTGGCCCCTCGTTCCTGCAGGTATTACGCTGACATTGCCAAGCTCCCGGCCATCAGTGACCAGGACATGAACGCCTACCTCGCCGAGCAGTCACGCCTGCACGCCGTGGAGTTCAACATGCTGAGTGCCCTCAACGAGATCTACTCCTACGTCAGCAAGTACAGCGAGGAGGTGAGTGTGGGCAGCAGTGTCCCCTGGAGGAATGGTGTCCCCTGGAGGAATGGTGTCCCCTAGGGAACAGTGCTCCCTGGGCATGGTGGTGTCCCCTGGAGTGATGGTGTGCTCTGGACCGTGATGGTGTCCCCTGGGCCATGGTGCTTCCTGAGACCAATGTATTTCCTGGAGTGATGGTGTCCCCCAGGCAATGGTGTCTCCTGGGCAGTGATGTTCTCTGGAATGATGGCATCCCATGGGCAATGGTGTCCCCTGGGCCATGGTGACCCCTGAGCCATGGTGTCCCCTGGGCAATGGTGTCCCCTGGCCATGGTGTCCCCTGGGCCATGGTGTCCCCTGGCCATGGTGTCCCCTGGGCCATGGTGTCCCCTGGGCCATGGTGTCCCCTGGGCCATGGTGTCCCCTGGGCCATGGTGATGTCCCCTGGGGCAATAGGCTCCTGTGGCACGTGTGTGGGAGAGCAGGAGCAGTGCTGGGTTGTGTCAGGATCCCTCCCAGAGCTCCTTGCCCTCCCTTCCCTGGCTGCAGCCCGGCTGTAGCCAGTGCTGCTCCTGCCCTGCTGTTCTCTTCACGCACACAAGGGTTTGGCTGCACTTGTAGCATCCTCCCCAGGAGGACTGAGAGCTGAAATATTGTGGGAGCACCTGGATACCTCAGCTCTGGCATGCACCCAGTGCAGTGGAAAATATTCATGACCCATCAAAGCTCCCCAGAAACCTCGGTGTCCTTTGGGAGCTGCATGGTCCAAATCCCCGCTGTGGTGGCACAGGCTCCTGTCTGCAAAGGCTTCCTGGCAGCCTGAGCTCCTTTAATGAATGCATCACTTGAAACCAAGTTCTCGCCATCTGTTCCACCCCTTCATTTCGCTGCAAGAAGAACTGATTTTGTAATTATGTCCGTGAAACGGAAGGGTTTTGTCATTGAACTGCGTGTAGCCATTTGTGATACAATGCCACGGCTATTTTCCCATTAGGGTTGAAAAATCTCATCACTTTCGTGCTAAATGAGACAAGAAATGTGGAGTCCAAGGCAGCAGAGTGAGTTTTGTTGAGTGGGTATCGAAGGGTCCAACACACCAACGACAGCCAAGTTGCTTTGCTATTTATTGGGATTTCTCATCTCCCCACTTGGAGCTGCTCACATCTCGCTGCCCACCCACCTGTCCCACCCCCTCTTTCTCGCTGATTTCTCTCTCTGATTCATTTTTTTCCCCCCCCTTTTCCTGTTTTCTCCCCCAGCTCATCGGGGCTCTGGAGCAGGATGAGCAGGCTCGGAGGCAGCGCTTGGCGTACAAAGTAGAGCAACTCATTGGGGCCATGTCCTTCGAGAGCTGAAGAAAGGTCAGGGGCAGCAAAGGGCAGAGGATTGCACGGACTCTGGGGAATCTGGAGGGAGAACAAGCAAGGAAGGCACTGGACACACCCCCAAGGCTCTTCTGGAGAGAGCAGAGCCTGGCCCAAGGACTGGCTGCCTTCAAAAATCATACAGGATCCAGCTGGAAAGGGCAGGAAGGGAAGAAGATGAAACAGCTCAAAGTCCAAGCAAGGTGGATCATTTTTTCAAGAAGGAACCTGGAAAGTCTGGATGTCTCCACGACTGCTGCTTTGCATGAAAATTGTTTAATGTATATTAGAAAATAAAACTTTATTTAAAGGTTTTTTTTTAAAAAAAAAAAAAAAGGAAGAAAAAGGAAAAAAAAATAGAGCAAAAACCACAGAGGCCATAGAGATAATCCTGGCAAGAAGGATCAGCTCTGAATCCTGTCCCTGGGAGCCTTAGGAGGGCACAGCTCAGGCATTCTGCACATGGACTCTCACACCCATTGGAAGGTCTGGAAAACCGAAATGTCTCCATTTTGGATTCTTACAACGAGCACAAGTCTGCACCACACCTTTTTACACAGGCAAAATAGCAGTTCTGCCCAAAACCAGTCCAGTGGCTGAGTAACTTAGAGGCACTAGAAGGAACTTTACCTGAATTGCAAAACCATCAGATCACCCGACCTGTCTTGAAATCCAGCTTTATCCATGTATTTATATTGTGTCAATATATATATTTTTTCTTAATCCCGTTTGCTGTCGAATGAGGAAAGATCTGAATTTCACTGCTTTTCATTTTTCCACCCCCATCTCACCTCGCTGGCTGCTGGTGACCCAGCAGTGTCCACCAGTGTCCACCAGTGTCCACCAGTGTCCAGCATGGCCATGGTGACCCAGCAGTGTCCACCAATGTCCACCAGTGTCCGGTATGGTTGTGGTGATCCAGCAGTGTCCAGCAGTGTCCAGCATGGCCATGGTGACCCAGCAGTGTCCAGCTGTGGTGACCCAGCAGTGTCCAGCAGTGTTCAGCATGGCCATGGTGACCCAGCAGTGTCCAGCTGTGGTGACCCAGCAGTGTCCAGCAGTGTCCAGCAGTGCCCAGCATGGCCATGGTGACCCAGCAATGATCCATTCCGTGGCCACTCTGGCTCCTGCAGGTGCCACGTGAGCCAAGGCAGAGCTGTGCCGACACCTCCAGGGGTGGTTTTGGGGTCTCCAGCAGCCACCTCTGATTTCTCGCAGCAAAACCCCCCAAACCTGACGTTTACAATACTTGAAAAGCCTGGACGTTGCAGGAGCAGATTGTTGCTGTTTTTCTGCTGGATGTGCGGGGTCCTTTGGCACAGGCTCCCTTTGGGTGTCTCCGCCAGCATTTGCTGCCTCACCCAGGGCCAGGACTTGCATTTCCACTGGGCAAGGGGGAGAAATCTCCACTCCAGGCAAGAGCAAACCTTAACCAGCACCCTCGGGCCAGCCAGCTCTGCTGTCGTGTCTCTGTGTCAGCGTCTCGTTGTTCTCTTCAGTTCCTTGCTGGCCCCCATGGCACACGTTCCTGTGGCCAGTGACAGGAAAATGTTTGTGAGTGTTATTTCTTTCAAAGACACCAAAGCTTATGTGTGTCCCTTTGTAGAGTGCCAGGAGGGGAAGGAATGCTGTAAATATTTCTCTCTGTAGTAAATATTGATATGTGTGCAGGCTGCAGTGGGGAGGGCAGGGAGAGGAGGCCTAATGGAAATACAAGTGTTGGCTGCAGGAGTTTGGCAATGGCAGCAAAATAATTCCTGGTGTCTGCCCAGGCAGTGCCACACCAGACCGGGACCTTCTTTTGCAGCCAGTGTGTGTTGAAGAAAAATCCATTTCCATCTCCATCCCCCTCCTCCACCATTCCTCCTGGAGGAGCCCAGCAGGGCTCCCAGAGAGCTGCTGGCTTTCTGTGTCCTGCAGTCCAGCACCAGGGGAGGGGAGAAGCACGTACAGAAATACTCAGGAAACTTGGTTTAATTGCCATTCAGTAAAAGCCATGCCAAGTCCACTTTTTTTTTTGGTAATTCACTTCTGTGAGTCTCTCTGAAAAGCAGAAAATACTGATGATAATAATCAACCTTGTGCAATAAGTTCTTGACATTTACAGCAGCCTGAGCACTGGATTTACTGAGACAGGGGGAGAGTGGCAGAAACAGAGACTGAAATGCAGAGCAGTGTTTGTACTGCCTGTTATCCAAGAGCTCCCTTCCCAGGGATCCTGCTCCTGCACAGTGAATCTCATTTCTAAGGTAAAAAAATGTGCAAAAGTCCTACTAAAAGTCAGGCAGTGTGGAGCCCAGTGCCAGGAATGTCACTGGAGCAGTCCCCAGCCTGGCTGCTCTTTGCTGCAGGTACCACAGGACGTGGCACAGGGTCAGGCTGTGAAATCCTGCTGGTTTTTGCTGGTTTTCCTCCTGCTGCTCACAGTGATCCATCACACAGCTTAGGTGAGGGATTTCCAGATCTGTTCTAGCTGTGGCTGTCTGTTTGGGTTCACCAAATTCTTATGGTACTCTGAAACAAACCCAAAGAGAGCACTCCAAAAAGTTCCTGAGCGACTTCCAAACACTTCCAAATATCATTGTGGGGAATTATCTCTGCAGGACTCACAAAACACGAGAACAGCCCGAAGCAAAGGTCTGGCTGTGCATCACCTGGGGCTGGTGACAGTGTCCCTGCCCAAGAGTCCTCGTGGTGCTCCTCTCTGCATCTCCTGGAGAGGTTTTTGTGCAGCCCTTTTAATCCTGCTTCCCTCCTGCTGCTCTCGTCCCTCTGGAGCACCCCCCAAGCCAAGGTTCTGTCATTCCCCACTCCCCTGTATTTTCTCAGCAAAAGTGGAGGTCCCCAAGCACCCCCTGGATTCTCTGGGAGAACATTAAGGAGACAAGGGGACAATGAGCTGATCTGCTGTGGGACCATTTGAGCAGAGAGGAAAGAAAAAGGGAAGCAGCAGGAGCACTTTGCAGACCAGTAAGCTCTTACACTTCAGACTGAATTCCGAAGGAAACAGCAAAAACATCTCTTCCATCACCTGGAAAAGCTTTAGGAGGACGGCAGAGGGAACAGCACAGTCCTGGCTGGAGGGGTGGCCTAAAAATACATTGCCAAGTATCTTCTCATGGTGGTTGACATTAATTATGGATCTTTACAGGCAATTATATGGATTGAAGCAACATATCCCCCTGGGGCAAAGCGCTGGGAATCTCTTGCCCTGTTTGCATCCGACATTTCCATTCCTCCTTTGGGAAGAGGAAAGCTTCAGATCTCAACATGGCATTTTCTTTGCACTCGCAGCAAACCGGACTCGAGGTTTGGTCAGGAGGGGGCACTTGCCTTAGATGAAATGATTTCACGTCCCTCTCATTGCCCCCTTCTTCCTGCAAGGCTGCTCGGTGCTGGGAGCCTCCAGTTCTCTCCGTTTCAGGTATTCCGACATCAAAGTGGGAGACGTCACTTTCCGGAATCTCTCTGCCTGGTGTCACGGCTTGAATAATTCCGTTTAATCTTCTGCTCATGAGCTATCAAAGCACCCACTCCGAGGGGGAGCGAGGTGCTAATCAAACGCTTCTCCACCTTGAAAGCCTTTATTAAAACCCCACACACGAGAGCGGAGCTGGCAGGCGAGGCTGGCCCCGAGTGAGCCCCGCTCAGGAGCCGCAGCCACCAAAGCTCGGAGGGTGTGGACAGCGAGTGGCCCAAGCTCTGCCATAAAGGATGGATTTAAAGGGAGGCAGGAGGGATCAGCAGCACGGCCAAAGTGCTGGAAACCCTGTGAAATCCAGCACGGATATCCGTGGAAACCCTGGGTATCCTGTCTGTACCTGAGCGAGGACTCACCGTGGGGACCAGCGCTGAGAAACAAAACTGCGGCCACGGGCTCGCTGCATCCCAGCAGCATTCCAGGTGTGGAATTTCGGGTTTTTTCTCTGAATTGTGGCCGTGGGGACAGCGGTGCCTCCCTGCAGGGCTCGGGGCTGTGACACTCTGGGGACGGTGAGCACAGCGGTGCCAACAGAGACCTTCATCACAGCAGTGCCTTCCACACTCTGTCTTAAAATCCTGGTGGCCCATCCCCACGTCGGTGTTCCCTCCTACCTTCCACTGGACTCCACAAAAAATGTCCCAATGTAGGAAACCGTCTGGGTGGGCAAAGGCGAGAGGGTTTAAGGCTCTGGGGTTGCATTCTGCTCTCTGCTGGCTCCGAGCTCCTTGTGGGGGTCTGAGTGTTTAATTCCGTGTGGAAAAAGGGTCAGAGCATCCCCTCCTCCAGTGGGCACAGCCTCCCAACAAGATCTCGTTCCCGGGAGCCAGCAGGGATGAGGAAGGCCAGGTTGGCACAGGGCACAGCAGCTCCCTGTGCTCCTCCAGAGCCCCGGGCTCCTTCCCTGGCAGCAGCCCAGCCACGTTCTCCTGTCACTGGCTCTTCTCCATCCAGTTTCCTGCGCTGTCAGAGCTCACCTGTCACAGGGACTCAGCTCCCCAAACTAAACGAAACTAAAACAGACTGGCTGAATAAGCTGGGCCATGTGGGAGAGCTCACGTGTGGCTGTGCCCTGGAGAGAAGAAAAAAAAAATGTTCTGAGGAGGGTAAATAACTGACATCAAAGATGCATTAAAATGCCACAGAGCTTCAGCCATCCTATTCCAGAACCACATTTGTACCAGGAATTGCGAGGCCATAGTGCAGGGAGCTGTGACATTGCAGAGTTGTGTGTGAGGCAGAGCTCGGAGCAGAGTCCTGTCCTTGGTGAGAACACCCAGCCTGGACCCAGAACCAGACAGCAGCGGGTCAGAGGCTGAGGGCAAAGCCCTGGGGACAGCTCTGAGGCCACCTGCATGGGCAGGATGGCTTGATTTTATTGATGAGGCGTTCAGTGGGGAAATAATCAGAGATGCCCGTGTGCACTGCGAAGGCAGCGCTGGGGATCTGCTGAGCTGAGCAACCCCAGATGTGCAATTCCAGTGTGGTTTGGTCGGTTTAGTTTTGCAGGGGAAGAGGATGGGAGCCTTTGGAGCAATCTTGGCTGTCTGGAAGGCTTTGTGCAAAGCCCCTTCACCCTGCAAACCCCCAGATTCAGGTGCTGGTCCTGTTCTGGGCAGGCTGTGTACCAGCAGCCAGAGCCCCAGCTGTGGGTGCTGCCTGGTGCCTTCCTGGCTCCTGGAAGAAAACTGGGGGCTGTGGTGTGTGCCCTGCACCCCAGGGTGCTCTTCTGGGTGCTGGGGTCAGAGATGGGGAGGTGGAAAGGTGGGGCAGTGTGGGATGGCAGAGCCTGACTGCTCCTTGCTGGAAAAGCCACGCCAGTCCCTGCCAGGTGTCGGTGCCAGCATTGCTGAGGTGGCACCTGGAGGTGCCATGGCCGTGCTGAGGTGGCACCTGGAGGTGCTGTGAGCGTGGCAGTGGCTCTGTGCTTGTTTTTTCATATCCCCCCTTTGTCCCCGTGTTCCCCATCCCTCTCCTTCCTTTGTAACCATGGAATACAACCCCGAAAGAATTTGACTTTCCTGCAGTGCTGAGGAACCACAGGGCCCATCCAATTGCACGGACAATATCCCAAATATCCCAAACTCCCTGGGCCTCCCGAGGCTGTTAAATCCAACAGAGATCTCCTGTATGGCCTTTCCTTTGGGATTTTTAATACCTCTCTTTCGAATAAGCTTGGAAGTTTATGCAACAGCTTCTCCAGCCATCCCGAGGACTGGGCACACAGAGGAGCCGTGGGGAGATGAGCTGAGCTGATTTTGCTGTGTTATTTCATGGCTTCAGAAGGTGCAGTAAAAATGTCCTTCTCTTACTGCTGAGTTTTGGTGTTGGTGGCACCTTGGGG